TCCAAATAAAGAAGATTAGAAGCCAACGAAGATAAAAGGCTAGATTAGAGAAGCAGTCCTCGGTAAAATGACGAGCACAACAAAAGGTTCGAATTGTATTGCTGTGGTATCGTGGAACACAGCATCTTCTCGACACAGAGAGTGTTCGTATTTCGTGGGCAGGCGGGGATTATGCTAATGTGTTACCCAGTGACGTAGATCGGTAACAGGCAGAAGATTCGAAAATATAACGACTCGTTAAGGCTATTCTGAGCCGACTCTTTCTTTTGAGAGACAATATCTTTATTTATCATGCACTTTTTTGATTAACAACTTTGCAGACTGTTTACATTGAAGGATAGCTACCTTACAAACTGCAAAAGAGATATTTTTCAAAAACCCATATGACCTGCTCTTTAAGATGCTTGAGTTCAATTAAAGTTCTTCTTATGTTTCAGTTTTGCAGAAGAAACGTGACTATTTCAAGTGCCAATTAGGTCTTGCATTTATCTCTCGGAATCTGGCTCTTAACCCGACTGCCTGAATGAATGCCGTGTGCACTGGGCTGTGTCAAGACAAGGAACCTTGTGCAATCCATCTACTGCAGCAAATCTGGCTCTGATTTCTACTCGCTGTCCATCGGGGTTTGACATCTACTAAAAGAAACCGCAGGCACTCTGGCAGCTCCCTGCACAATCAATATTGACTTCCAGGCCTGATCTATTTTAGGGCCACTCATGCTGCAAACTATACATCTTTAGGATTACTAGACTTTACTCTTCCCGCTCTGGAAGTACTGTCTATTCTGTGTGTGCACAGTACTTGAACTGCCATCAAAGCTCAGCTTGTGTTGTTTGTATGGCTACAAAGTCAAATATATTGATATAGTTTTAAAATGCATGTTGGCATAATGATCCCAACCATTACACAACAGTTAGTTCTAGTCCTTGAATCTGATCGAGCAGCATTTAAAGAGTGCTGATAACAGCACTTTTGACTTTTCACTGTTTGATCACTCTGTGTGTCTGTCTACGTGCAGTGCATTAGTGGTAGAGATTTTTCAGTGACTTTCTGTAGGTCACATTAATGCACCAGTAGGTGGTGACAGGTCGCTGTGTTCATGAGTAAGTCAAAAACTGAATAATTCAGTCACCTGATTCATTTAAAAATGCTGATTCATTCAGAAACCAAACAAGTTGGGGTGCATTCCACTTTGTTTTTAGACACACACTTGCTCAGAAAACTTCCCCAAGCTCTTCCCCTCGGGGGAATCCCAGCCGTCTCAAGTAGATGAGAGAAGTTTATATGAGCAGACCCAAACTCACTGATTTGTTAAGGAACAAAACAAGTAAATAATTTGGTCAAACGATTCATTAAAAAAAGCAGAATCATTCAGGAACTAAGAAATTGGCGTTCTTTTTGAAAGAGTCTTTGAATCATTTGCTTTGATTATTTCAAAAACACTGATTCATTGCTTTGTGTGTTGTCTTTGTCATTGTTTCAATGCTTTTTTGTTGACAGCAAGAATCCTCAAATAAATTACAATGTTTTGTCTAAAACGTATGTTATTCAATGTTGACTTTGTTTATTGAGATTGATATTGCTGTCACAATTGCACTTCAAGACAAAGGTATACATCCCTTGACACTGCGATGTAGGCTAATTTTTGTTTCGTTCCATTTACTTGTTTATAAACTGTCAGTGGAGCGTACTTTGAATAGCATGAGCACTTAACAGTGTGCTAAATGGATTAGAACATGGTAAATTAAGTATACGTAATGTGACATTGTTTAAAACCCCATTGTTTCTGCACAGGATGTTTTTCAGCAAGAAAGAATGACGTCTTCCAGTATCTATAAGCTGACCACAGCAATTTTACTGTATATGCAAGAACTTCCTCCACTCTGTAAACAATAACAATTTCCCAACAGTTCATGGATAGAGAGGAGAAAAATCGGTTTGGAAAACATTTCCTTCACAGGCTCTCGACAGCTCAGTGAAGCTAAATGATTTCTCTCAAGCACTGCTGGATCAAGTTAAATGTCTTGCTCGCAAACATCAATCCTGTTTATCGCATGGGGGCTAGGAGGTGTTTGTGCACTGCTGTTTAACACATCTCTCCCTCACAGGCACAGCCTCTGAAAAAGCACAACGGCGGAGTGGCATTTCCCTTCCCTCCCCACCACAGAGCTGCCGGCTCTCAGCACACATTTATCTGTGATTTATACGCGACTCTCACAAGATGCGTGAGACCCAGCTATCATACTGTGTGAGGCCACTATCAAACAAATAGTGTTCATTTCCCGGACAGTTTCCGGCACTTTTGTCAATTGCGAGGTATATACGACTGGCGATGATGAGCTAAATTCGTCCAAAAGCATCATTAGCCAGGGGTGGTCCTCAGAAAGTGTTTAGATGGGCTTCCTGAAGGAGAACAAACAGTTAGCACAATAAAAGCACTATTAAAAGAACCAATGACTCGTCTCGGCAATTCTAACGTTCCATTAAGCTTTTGAGGAAAACAAACTTCCGCCTACCTTGAATGAGTGAGCATACAGGAAGATATTTTAAAAAAATATGTCTGTAATTATTCCTATCCTTGATGTTAGTGAGTTTAAATGTGTAAATGACCCTTGAAGAAGTTCAGTGAATCATTGTAAGTCCTTTAAATTCACTCTTTTCGTTTATGTCATTTACTGTATGTCAGTGTGAAACTAGTACTGACAAGAGTGTGGGATGTGCGGGCCACTTCATGCCAATTAATACTGTGACATTTTGGTCCAAGCCAATTAAGGCTTATCCACTGCCTCTTTGATTTCTAGGAAGGATCCTTAGGTCAAACTGTAGGATACTGTTATTTTAGGAATGATGCACTTTTTATGCTATATGTTTGTTATATCTGTCTTTATAGACATTAAGTAGTTTTGCCAATAGGAGCAATAGTTGGATATTGTGTGGGAGTAGAAATGTACAAAAATAAACTTTTTTTGTAAAAGATTGTTTTTATAAATCATTTTGATCAAAATAGTTAGTGTATAAGATATAAATGTATAAATAAGTAAATGTTCTATATACTTTTTTATTTTAATGCATTTTTTATTTACAAACATTCATTTGGTTCAGGTCACTTTAGGATTTATAGCTCCTTTTTAATTTTTTTAACAGCTTTTATTGTTTATTCTATACCCACTGGGACTTGTCATGAATTGGCAGGTTTAGCCTCATTGAAGTTGTGGTTAGGTACTGCAATAACTGGAAAAAATATGTAATCTACACATGATCAGAGGGTCCAGCAGTGCTGCAGCCATTTGTCTGTGTTATCTTTTTCCTGCATTATTGGTGACATGTTGCATGGTAGATTACCAGAAGCTCGGGAGAGATTCATAAGTCCACAGTGAATCAAATTTAGAAAATAAAAAATGTTGCTCTGCTGCACAACCAGCTATTAAGCTTGAATTTCTCTTGTCATGCCCCTGTAATGCTGCGTCGCTAATGGAGATCATGACATTTTCTGCTAGCTGCCCGACAGCCAGAGCGGCTGGTAATGCAGGAGGGTTGAATGTTTCTTTTAACACGGGCACTTTGAGCTATTTTTCAAGCCCATTTGTGTTGCCCAGACACAGTTGTTATTTGTCCAGCTGGGTGAGAGGGACATCCTTTCAGGTCAAGTCTTTGTTGATGCAGCATCTCAGCGGGTTGGATACCTTTCAGTGCACACAAGTAATAAATTACACCTTTACCAGGAATAATCGCAAGCTGGCTTAACCATACAGACACTAGCTTTTGTGAAACTTAATGCACTCTGATCTATGTGGTTATCCATGAGTTACTCTAGTGATTATAAAGCTGCAGAATGGAAAATGGTAATTAGCGGCGTTCAGAATGTGAGGTTAAAATAATAGAATGAATAGAATGTGAAGTTAAAATAATTCCTGTACTTGGTTCACACCATTATGCTAGCTGTCCGAGTGGCCATACCTCATACTTGTCATGCCCCTGTAATGCTGCGTCGCTAATGGAGATCATGACATTTTCTGCTAGCTGCCCGACAGCCAGAGCGGCTGGTAATGCAGGAGGGTTGAATGTTTCTTTTAACACGGGCACTTTGAGCTATTTTTCAAGCCCATTTGTGTTGCCCAGACACAGTTGTTATTTGTCCAGCTGGGTGAGAGGGACATCCTTTCAGGTCAAGTCTTTGTTGATGCAGCATCTCAGCGGGTTGGATACCTTTCAGTGCACACAAGTAATAAATTACACCTTTACCAGGAATAATCGCAAGCTGGCTTAACCATACAGACACTAGCTTCTGTGAAACTTAATGCACTCTGATCTATGTGGTTATCCATGAGTTACTCTAGTGATTATAAAGCTGCAGAATGGAAAATGGTAATTAGCGGCATTCAGAATGTGAGGTTAAAATAATAGAATGAATAGAATGTGAAGTTAAAATAATTCCTGTACTTGGTTCACACCATTTTGCTAGCTGTCCGAGTGGCCATACCTCATAGTTGGGGATCCCTGTAGCATTTAAATCTCTTCATATTTATAAATGTGATAAATAAACGATAATGTGAATCATTACTATACCAGGCTACACCAACAAATATATTTTTAAGGGTCAGTGATACATATTTCTGACTTGTTTTTGGTTTTTGTAAAGACACGTTTTATACTTGCTGCAACAATATGTTTAAGATTTTTAAATATAATTGTATGCAACAACATTAAACAAAATGTGGCTTGAAAGTATAGGCCTGTGACTTATCTCATTACTGATTTCCGATTAGAAAGCTAATGCACAATCACTTGATATAACTATCTGTTCCTCAGAAATTGTAATATATGGTAATTATGCTGAAAATTGCTATTCCTTTGAGGAAATTACTATAATCAAAACATTATTCTCATAACAATTATTCTGTGACAATCATATTTTCTGTAATTACATTAACAGCAGTTGCTGCCGTGTGACTCAAGAGTGCATGAAAGCAAGATTTGGGATCTAAGACTGTCGAATAGGCCATGGTCCTGAAACAAAGAGATTAATTGCAAAGTGATAACTAATTTGTTGTGAAACCATAAGCTTCCACAGACGTAATTGCTCTTCAATTGCTGCCACGTTCTATAATGCTTAATTTGCGTGCTTGTGCACGCTGTCCGACGGCACACTAATATTAACAGACAGCCATTTCAAAGCCTTGCTAATGCAATAAGGTTTTCATGTAGAATAACACTCTAAGTATAGGGAAGGTAATCGAGGCTGAACAAATTCCTCATTCCCAGCTTTTCACTTAAAGGAAAGACTGGTTAATGCAGGGAGACTTTTTAACGAGGGCCTGTCCTTGGTTTTATTGAAAGTCTTATATCCAGCGATGGCTTTTCTCAATTGTCAACAGTTCCAGGAAGCTCTCCAACAAAGCTAAACCTCTGTTAGCAAGTTACAGAGCTGTGAAAAATCCCATAACAGCACTCTAAGCTTGCAGCTCAGTAATTATTCCCCTCTGTTATACTTTAGAGCACTGCTGATTTTTGTTCAAGAGAATGGGGAGTATTTCGTAATGCTCCAGAAGTTTGTGATGGTCATGCAGTGACAGTGTCTGACAAGAAACAGGGCCACCCAGACCCCTCGCTGAGCCTTTAGTTTTTCAGACAGTTTATGTTGTGCGTCTGTTAATTCTGGTCCTCAAATCTGATTGGTCGAGCAGCTCCAAGAGTGCCGACGTTATTCCAACAACACAGTTTTTGGCACTTTTCACTGTTTGTAGCATCTGCTTGCATTTGCTTTCTAGACAGACTGTCAGTCTAGTCAGTTGTGGGGATTTTTAGTCACTCTTCCTGCAGGTTTTATCGACTTACACAAGACAAGAGTCTGTATTTATGAGTGAGTCACTGATTCAGTTCAGTCAACAATTTGTTAAAAATGTGTATTCATTCAGCAACGTAATAAGTGACACGAATCATTGAATCATTAAAATAACACTGAATGAATGGGTAGTTGAACAAATGATTTGTTCAAAAACATTGATTCATTCAGGAACGAACAAAGCAATTAACTGTCTTAGTATGAACGAGTCACTGAATCATTTACTCAACTGATTCATTCAAAAACGCTCATTCATTAAAGAACGAAACAAGTGTTTTTCAAATGAGTCACTGAATCATTTGCCCAAATGCTTCATTTAAAAACTCTAATTCTTTAAGGAATGGTTACTGTGTTTATGATTAAATCATTTAATCATTCACTCAACAGTTGGCTGCCATGACAGTTTGTTCAAAAAATATTGATTAATTCAGAAACTAACAAAGAATTGACCGTTTTAGTATAAATAAATCCCTGAATCATTTACTCCATTTTGTTCAGAAATGCCAAGTTGTGTTGCTCGGGGAAGTGTGACACTTGATTGTTCTTTGTTTGGATGTACTGTATTGTTAGCACAGCATAGACAGGTGAACTTGATGATTGTTGAAATGTTGTACAGGCTAATGTTGTACAAAAGCAATGTCACACTTTGCATTAATGCTGTTGCTACAGGCTTGCTCATGAAATATTGCATAAAACGTCATTGTTTCTGCACACCATGCATTTAAAAAAGTCTGTATGTCCAGCAGGCTATAAGGTTAGTGATGCATTAAAATGATCGAAACGAAAGCTCTTTTTCTTGTAATATTGCTTGATTCTTTTGACAAAGAATATGACATGCTGTGCAAGGAAAGCAGTCGTTAATTTAAGTGGGTACTGCAAATGATAGAGCTGCATGTTCTTTCATTATTTAGATATTAAGTGGACAGACTTTGAATATTATATTTGTAATTTTACAAGTCTAAAAATCTGAATATTTTCACAGTTAAGCCTTCATAAAACTCATGCAGCATTATAACAATGTAATTTCGTAATTCCGTCTCTTCTGAAGGACCTGAAATGAAACAATTTCAAACTACTAGCTGTCATAATCTTCAGGTGAAGACACTCAGGTTCAAGTTTAACACTGATGAGTGCAGCGTACCTTAATCTAACCAGGGCAGCCAATGACATTAAATTCTTATCTTGCAGAGAACCTATATTTGAACACAATTGAACAGAGGTCTGGCTGAAGGGGCTATTCAGACTTCAGCAAGAGTGGGTCACAGCCACAATGAGATGTGAACTAATATAAGCTCTCAGAAAAAAAAGATGGATCACCTCCGTGAGAAAATTTTGACAATAATTGGGGGAGATATCTGCTGTGTCCCCATTCAAGCAGTGGACAGTCTTTTGGTGGCATTTCATTATCCTGACAGGAATTGTCACTAGAACAAATTCATCAGCGGACAAAAAAGCGAAATAAATGGCTGGATGAGAAATAGACAAGCCTAGCTCCTGAGCTGATGTGGAAGACTTTTGACTTTTTTATACATATATCATTATGTTAGAAGAGTGGAAGCGGCATGCTCGATATGAACATCTTTTTCAATTTAGTGTGTTTCAAATAATAATGGCAACATGATTTGACCTATTCGCGAGGCACAGGGCATGCAATGAGAAAGATGGCTCATTTAGTGAGAGGAGACCTCTGGCCCTGCTTCGGCTCCCCATATGGCAGGAGATGAACAATGAATGTGAAAAAAGCCAGCTCATGCATTTTAAATTCCCCCTCATCGCTCTATCTGAGCCATAGAGGAGAGCCCAAATGCTTTTTCCAAATGGAGATGCATGTTTGTGAGACTATTCACTTACCGCACACGCAGTGTGGTTATTTACTGTATATCATAATATTTTGAGGCAGATAGAAGGTGACGGCTAGTAATGCAGCTAATTTGATTAGGCGTTTACTTAAGCAATATTATGAATGCAAATTTCCAGGTTAAATGTTGAAAAACCCTTGAAACAACTCAAGCAACTTTGAGTAAGATGTTAAGACTTCTTTTTAAAGCATGCATCTTTGATACAAGTGTAAAAAAACAAACAAACAAAAAGGAACAGGAACAGGTAGATCCAAGATGTAGATGAGTTTGGTTCTTCAACTGAACAGATTTGGAGAAATGTAGCCTTACGTGTCACATTACATGATCCTCTGCAGTGAATGGGTGCCGTCAGAATGAGAATTCGAACAGCTGATAAAAACATCACAATCAGAAGGGAGCATTACGGACTGGTATTTTGGCCAGAAATTATGAAAGTTAACCTAGAACACATTCACTGCAGAGGATCCATTGGTGAGCACTTGGTGCAATGCTAAATTTCTCCAAATCTGATGAAGATACAAACTCATCTACATTTTGGATGGTCTGAGGTTGAGTACATTTTCAGGTGAACTATTCCTTATGCAGTGCTTGTCTAGTAAACGTATCTTGTTTTAAGAATTTTTAGATAATAATACAATTTTATGTTTTTTTATGTTTATTTAAAGCACCTGCAAGGGGTTCTGAACTGACTTTGTAGACAGTGTAATGAACTCAAAAGTCAAACTTATCAACTTGTAAATGTCATCAAAAACACCCACTGTTTGTCTAAAGCTAACAAAACTCTGCACATTGTCAGAAAAATGCACATTCAGCCTGATTACAGACTGTACATCTATATATCCTGACATAAATGTGCGATTTTTGTCTATATTCAATGTGAATATAGACAAAAATCGCACATTTATGTCAGGATATATAGATGTACAGTCTGTAATCAGGCTGAATGTGCATTTTTCTGACAATGTGCAGAGTTTTGTTAGCTTTAGACAAACAGTGGGTGTTTTTGATGACATTTACAAGG